TTCTTGTTTTTGACTATACAAAACATCCTTCTAAACCAGGTACTTGCTCTTTCCTATTCAAATTCAAGTACGTCAATTTGGAAAATAAGTACATGGTTCCACTCATCCTGAGTTTTAATTTCTTGTTACTCTATATAAATTTTATATTTTACTGTATATGTTGATATATGTGGATATTTTTATTTCTCCCCTTAAGTGAAAAAAAATGCTCCTTTACATAGAAAAGAATGATTGTGCTGCTTAAGCATTAATCATTTGGTCATAATGGTTTCTATACCCAAATCAAAATTTCATTCTTAGTAGACTCAGAGAGCCAGTGGACTGGATAGGATAGTCTTGATGTGTCTTTCACTTTGCAGACCCTTCTGGAGAGTGCAACCCAGATTTGCGTCTTCGTGGACATCAGAAGGAAGGCTATGGGCTTTCTTGGAACCCAAATCTCAGTGGGCACTTACTTAGTGCTTCAGATGACCATGTGTGTATCCTTCCCATTTTAAAACAAATCTGGGCTGGTTACCAATTGGTTTCTTTTTTGGGATGTGTGGGGAGGTGAGAATCTTCCTTTTATATAATGACTAATTTTACATTTAAGACCATCTGCCTATGGGACATCAGTGCTGTTCCAAAGGAAGGAAAAGTAGTGGATGCGAAGACCATCTTTACGGGGCATACAGCAGTTGTAGAAGATGTTTCCTGGCATCTGCTCCATGAGTCTCTGTTTGGGTCAGTTGCTGATGATCAGAAGCTTATGATGTGAGTAGAACCCATGGGGTTTATATTGTCTAAGTTTCATATTTAATCACCATTTTAAAATGTTTTCCTTCTTTTTCTTTTTTTCCCTCCTCCTAAAGTTGGGATACTCGTTCAAACAATACTTCCAAACCAAGCCACTCAGTTGATGCTCACACTGCTGAAGTGAACTGCCTCTCTTTCAATCCTTATAGTGAGTTCATTCTTGCCACGGGATCAGCTGACAAGGTCAGTTTGGATTGTTTTAATAAAAACATAGGATGAATTTCTCCAGCTTCTTTTGAATTTCAGAGAGATTTTAGTTACGGGTTTTCTTTTTCTTTTTAAAAAAAAAATCATTGCTTACTCTTACTTTCCTTTTCTTTTTGTATATAGACTGTTGCCTTGTGGGATCTAAGAAATCTGAAACTTAAGTTGCATTCCTTTGAATCACATAAGGATGAAATATTCCAGGTAAGAGAAACTAATGCTACTAGATTTGTTTGATTCTCACTCTTGTCACCCAGGCTGGAGTGCAGTGGCACGCTCACAGCAGGGTCAACCTGCTGAACTCAGGCAATCCTTCCGCCTCAGCCTTCACAGTAAACTACAGGCACGTATATATTTTTTAAATTTATTGTAGAGAAGAGGTCTCACCAAGTTGCCTGGGTTGGTCTTAGACCCATGGGCTCAGGCGAGCCACCGAGCCTGGCCGCTTTTTTTGTGTGTATGTGGGTTGGAGTCTCACTCTGTTGCCCAGGCTAGGGCAGTGACATGCTCACGGCCACCACAGCCTCAACCTGCTGGGCTCAGGTGATCTTTCCGCCTCAGCCTTTCGAGTAGCTAGAACTACAGATAAGCATGCACCACCATTCTCGGCTAATTTTTTGATTTATTATAGAAATGAGGTCTCGCTAAGTTGCCAGACTGGTCTCGAATCTGTGGGCTCAGGCAGTCCTCTCACCTCAGCTTCCCAAAGTGCTAGGATTATAGGTGTGAGTGACTCCACCCAACCAAAAAGATTCTTTGAGCCCAGGATGATTAGGCTGCAGTGAGCCATAATTGTACCATTATACTTCATCCTATGTGATAGACGAAGACTCCAACTCAATATATGATGAAACTGGGCACTGTACCTGTAGTCCCAGCTACTCAAGAAACTGAGCAGGCAGATAGATCCCTTCAGCCCAGAAGTTCAGATCTAGCCTGGACAGCATACTGAGGCTACACCTCTTTTTTTTTTTTTTTTTTTTTTTTTGAGTTGGAGTCTCACTCTGTTGCCCAGGCTGTAGTGCAATGGCACACTCATGGCCACCGCAGCCTCCATCTGCTGGTCTCAGGCGATCCTTTTGCCTCAGCTTCCAAGTAGCTGGGACTACAGGTGTGCACCACCACGCCCAGCTACTTTTTTTATTTACAGTAGAAATGAGGTTGGGTCTCAAAACAGTAGGCTCAGGCAATCCTCTCACCTCAGCCTCCCAAAGTGCTGGGATTATAGGCATGAGCCACCTGACCTGGCTAGAGGCCCCGCCTCTTTAAACAAATTTGTGTGTGTGATAAAAGGGAACAAAGGCTGGTATCTCAGATCTAGTAATGGGTTATTTTTATTTAAAACATTATCTGCCACGTACAGTGGCTCATGTCTGTAATCCCAGCACTTTGGGAGGCCAGGGCCAGATGATTGTCTGAGCTCAGGGGTTCAAAATGAGCCTGGGCAACTTGATGAGACCTCATCTTTATAATAAATGAAAAAAATAAGCATGGCGTGGTAGTACACACCTGTAGTTTCAACTACTTGGAAAGATGATGTGGAAGGATCGCCTGAGCTCAATAGGTTGAGGCTGCAGTGGCCAGGAGCGGCCACTGCACTAATAATAATTAATAGCTAGATAATTTTTTTTTGAGTTGGAGTCTCACTCTGTCACCCAGGATGGAGTGCAATGTCAGGCTCATGGCCACCGCAGCCTTGACCTATTGGGCTCAGGAGATCCTTCCGCCTCTGCCTTCCAAGCAGCTGGAACTACAGGCATGTGCTACCACGCCCGGCTAATTTTTGATTTATTGTAGAGATGAGATCTCGCCAAGTTGCCTAGACGGGTCTCAAACCTGTAGGCTCTGGCAATCCACTCGCCTTAGCCTCCCAAAGCGCTGGGATTGCAGGCTGAGCCACCACCTGACATAGCTATTAATTTTAACTGTAGTATTTATAATACTATAACTTCCTTTCTATTTATAATTTTTTTTTTTTTTTTGAGTTGGAGTCTCGCTCTGTTGCCCAGACTGGAGTGCAGTGGCACACTCCTGGCCACTGCAGCCTCAACCTGCTGGGCTCCTGTGATCCTTGCGCCTTAGCCTTCCAAATAGCTGAAACTACAGGCACGCTACCACGCCCAGCTAATTTTTGTTTTATTGTAGAGATGAGGTCTTGCCAAGTTGCCCAGGCGGGTCTCAAACCTGCGGGCTCACGCAATCCACTCATCTCAGCCTCCCAAAGTGCTGGGATTACAGGCTGAGCCACCAAGCCCGTCTTTCTATTGTCTTTATTCTTGTAGGTTCAGTGGTCACCTCACAATGAGACTATTTTGGCTTCCAGTGGTACTGATCGCAGACTGAATGTCTGGGATTTAAGGTAAGTCTTGTATTCGTTATTCTCTCCATGAAGTTATTTGCTTTATTACACTTTGCAAAGGTAGTTACTAATGGTAAATCTATTTTAACTTTTGAAATCGTCTTTTTATACTAGTAAAATTGGAGAAGAACAATCCCCAGAAGATGCAGAAGATGGGCCACCAGAGTTGTTGGTATGTTACAAGCATTGGGCAGTATTGAAATAGTCTATTTTAATGTTCTTTACCTACATTTCACCTCTTTGTTTTCTTCCCTTTCAGTTTATTCATGGTGGCCACACTGCCAAGATATCTGATTTCTCCTGGAATCCCAACGAACCTTGGGTGATTTGTTCTGTATCAGAAGACAATATCATGCAAGTGTGGCAGATGGTAAGCATTTGGTCCTTTATTTGAGGGGGGTTAGATAATTCAGACATTATGAATACAACTACCATGTCTTCACTGTGGACCAGCTGCCTGCTTTTATTAGAACACAGCCATCCTAATTCAAATTTTATACGCCATCATAAATATCTCTGGCTATTTTCTCAGAAACTATATGGCCTATACTCCATATAATAAAGTATTTACAGTCAGGCGTGGTGCCTCATGCCTGTAATCCCAGCACTTTGGGAGGTGGAGGCAAGAGGATTACCTGAGTCCACATGTTTGAGACCAGCCTGGGCTACTTGGAGAGACCTCGTCTCTACAATAAATTAAAAAAATTAGCTGGGTGTGGTGGTGAGTGCCTGTTGTTCTAGCTACTTGGAAAGCTGAGGCAGAAGGATTGACGGAACCCAGCAGTTCAGGCTGTGGTGGCCATGAGTGTGTCACTACACTCCAGCCTGGGCGACAGAGACTCCTACTCAACAATAAATAAAGTATTTATTATCTGACTTCCTGGCCTAATCTACTGTTTAAAAAGTAGCCTTCATGTTTACTAAATGCCCTTTTCTTTTATTTGTGGCAGGCAGAGAACATTTATAATGATGAAGACCCTGAAGGAAGCGTGGATCCAGAAGGACAAGGGTCCTAGACATGTCTGTAATTCTTGTGATTCTAGACTCCCCTTTTTTTCCTCTCTATCCTGAGATTGATTTAACACTGGTTTTGAGACACACAGACTTTGTTCAAAGGCTATCCCGCCATATAGGTACCACCAACAATGCTATTAACCCAGCAGTGGGTATTTTCTAAACATTAACTGGGGGACTTGATTCAGCAATGCCACAGACTTACATTTAAATTTTCTTCAGGAATTTTATAGTAACAAACCAGGTCTAAAATAGCTACAGAAAGGGGAATATTATGTGGATTATTTTTCTTCTTATGCTGTATCCCCATGTTTTTCAGACTCATTTAATAAAGGCTAGAGTGAGTAAGGAATAGAGCCAAGTAAGGTAGGTCTCTGAGCCATGAAGTATAAATACTGCAAGATGTCATTTTTATTCAGGAAATAGGGGAGATTCAAGTCGTATAGATTCCTACTCTAAAATCTTCACACCTGACTTTCCAGGATGCACATTTTCATATGTAGACCAGTTTCCTCTTGGTTTCTTCAGTTAAGTCAAAACTACATGTTCCTCCTTCCCCATATATTTTTGCTCGTTAGTGTATTTCTTGAGCTGTTTTCATATTGTTTCTTTCCTTTCTGTGAAATGGTTGTGTTTTTTTTTTAACTTGGGACCACCAAGTTGTAAAGATGTATGTTTTTACCTGACATTTCTACCACAGGTAGACTGTCAAGTTGAGAAGAGTGAATCAATAACTTGTATTTGTTTTTAAAATTAAATTAATCCTTGGTAAGAGTTGCTTTTTTTTTTTTTTTAGGAGTTAGTCTTTGACCACTAGTTTGATGCCATCTCCATTTTGGGTGACCTGTTTCACTAGCAGGCCTGTTACTCTCTATGACTAACTGTGTAAGTGCTTAAAATGGAATAAATTGCTTTTCTACATAACCCCATGCTGATGGGTTTTATTTAGTGTATAACATCCATCAAACACCAGTCTCTTGCTTCTAAAAGAATTGTTCAGATGACAGTTATTTTCCATGGTCTTTGACTATGAAGAGCAGAATTAAATATAATAGACCCAGAGCTATAGAAAAGGCTTTACTCCTTCCCAGGGAAAGTGAAAAACATAAAACACACTGAATCATAGGTGGCACATACAAGTCTTTGATAAGATAACATCTTTTTGAAGTCTATCTCTAGAGAACTACAAGGACTTTCAAGAATGTCAAAGGCAGTGTGGTAGAGAGAATTTAAGACAAAATTTAAATTTGGAAAAGGTGCTTGAACCTGTTCTCAGAGGTTGAACCTCCCCAGTTTTTCACTAGGGCCTGTACTTAGATGCTAGAAATAATAGCCTCTGAAAGCCTTTATCACCAAGTGCCATTACCAGATAAAATGCCTGGTTCTTTCCAATCACTCAGTTTTTGTTTTTTCTTAGCTGAGTAAATAATTCCGACCCAAAATCACTTTCATGAGGTAAGATCTTTGGGGAAATCTGAATTTTAATTAGGTTCAAATCTGGATTGGTTCCTTTTCTCCAAGTCTAGTTGCTTCAGAGTATAGTGAAAATTATCTTGACACAATTTTTAGAGTAAACTATATGAGTCAACGTAGCCTTTTAGAAAAAGTAAATATTGTAAAAGAATTCATGTAAAAATCTAACACTCAGCACAAAAGAATGCAAATTGTAAACCCATGTAATCAAAACCTGCTGTCTTTTTTATCCCACCTTTGGCCCCCCCCAAAAAATGTTTTGGTTTGGGTCAACAAGAAAAGATACATTCTTCATAATACTGCAAGATGTGTCCATACAGTTATCCTTTACTCAGCGTGTATGTAAAAGTTGCTGCTGGAATATAGGAGGCTCATTTTTTCTTTCCTTGGTGCATTGAGATCAGTACCAGCAGTGGATGAAATAGAATCCATCTAAGAATTGGCTGCTGTTCTGCCTCTGGCCAAATCTAGACTCTCTTTAAGCGGGTCAGCCAGTGTTTGCAACTTTCACGGCATGGATTGCTTGCCAAGTCTCTGGCATTCCTTTTTCTGTTTGGAAAAAAGTATATCCAAAGGGTACTTAGTGATTGTTAAGAAGTTTTCTTTGTAGTTTCTGGATTACAGATTTGTCCATACATTTCTAAACAGCTCCTATAAGGTTGAGAGAAAAAAAGAGTAAGTTTGTATTTTCTGCAGTTTGAAATAATAACACAGTATAAGGTTTACAGCAACGAGCTTCTGGGGTTTAGTTAGTACAGGCTATGTGGACGAGAGATCGCTAGTGTGATTTATGTATAATTGGGAATGACTTTCCCAAGCAAGTATTTGGGTGCCTACTATTTGCAAAACAGAGTAAATGGTAAGTCATAATGATGGTGATGGGAGAAGATAATGAAAAATTTTCAGCTGGGCTTAGTGGCTCAGCCTGTAATCCCGCGCCTTTGGGAGGCTGAGGTGAGTGGATTGCCTGAGCCTGCGGATTCGAGACCCGCCTGGGCAGCGAGACCTCATCTCTACAATAAATCAAAAATTAGCCGGGCTTGGTAGCGTGCCCCTGTAGTTCCAGCTACTTGAAAGGCTAAGGCGGAAGGATCGCCAGAGCTCAGCAGGTCGAGGCAGCAATGGCCGGGAGCAGCCACTGCACTCCAGTCTGGGCGACAAAGTGAGACTCCAACTCAAAAAAAAAAAGAAAAGAAAAATTTTCTCTGCCCAGGTTAACTTCACACAAGTATTACAACACCTGAAATGGTGTAGTTTCATTTCTTTGGATTAATCATCGTTTTTTGCCGATTGTGTTTTAATCTGGTCCACACAAAAGGTATTTAGCAGATCATTGTCCTCAATTACAAGGTTATCATAATCTCCCCAGCATTAAACATAATGTTAATTTGGATAAAACACAGTATTAGAAAGTTAGGGAAAGCATCATTAAAATAGTTACTTATGGGCCGGGTTCGGTGGCTCAGTCTATAATCCCAGCACTTTGGGAGACCGAGGCGAGAGGATTGCCTGAGCTCGCGGGTTCGAGATCCGCCCCGGGCAACTTGGCCAGACCTCATCTCTACAATAAATCAAAAAATTAGCCGGGAGTAGTAGTGCACGCCTGTAGTTCTAGCTGCTTGGAAGGCTAAGGCGGAAGGATTGTGGGAGCCCAGCAGGTTGAGGCTGCGGTGACCAGGAGCGGCCACTGCCCTCCGGTCTGGGCGAGAGAGTGAGACTCCAACTCAAAAAAAATCAAATCAAATCAAATAGTTATTTGTGAATTTGTATCTAAGATGTGAGTTTAGAGTTTCTTTAAGGGACTGTAGGACTTTTATGAGACAATACTGGTAAAATGTTGGGAGAGGGATCCTGAATATTTCATTGGTCATATTTTATTTTATTATATTTATATATATATATATTTTTTTTTTTTCTTTTTTTTTTTTTGAGTTGGAGTCTCACTTTGTTGCCCAGGCGGGTCTCGAGCCTGCGGGCTCAGGCATTCCACTCACCTCAGCCTTCCAAGGCACGGGATTACAGAAGCCACCGTGCCCAGCTATATTTTTTTTTGAGTTGGAGTCTCACTCGATGTCGCCCATACTGGAGTGCATTGACTGCTGTTGGCCACTGCAGCCTCGAGCTGCTGGGCCCTGGTGATCCTTCCGCCTCTGCCTTCCAAGTAGCTGGAACTACAGGCGTGCACTACCATGCCCGGCTAATTTTTGATTGATTGTTAGAGATGAGGTCTCGCCAAGTTGCCCGGGCGGGTCTCAAACCCGCGGGCTCAAGCAGTCCACTCACCTCAGCCTCCCAAGGCGCGGGATTACAGGCTGAGCCACCGAGCCCGGCTTGGTCATATTTTATTATATAAGGAAATTACTGCATAGGTATGTTGGTTCCACATATTAAGCAATAATTCTCTCAACCTATAAACAACAGCCATCCTCAGCTTTTCTTATTACTTACATAGTAATGTAGGCCTCATTGGCCTTTTGTCATAGTCTGAATTCCACAGCACAACTGCCTTCTCTGCTCTTCTGATGAAACTTTCTGAATGGCAGGTGGGATTAGGTAGGGTGAGGAAGCAGAATGTCCCGCAGAGGTCCTCAAATTTTTAAAACGGGGCCAGTTCACTGTCCCTCAGACCGTTGGAGGGGCGGACTATAATTTAAAAAAAAAAACTATATGGCCGGGCTCGGTGGCTCAGCGTGTAATTCTGTGCCTTTGGGAGGCTGAGGTGAGTGGATTGCCTGAGCCTGCGGGTTCAAGACCCACCTGGGCAGTGAGACCTCATCTCTACAATAAATCAAAAAATCAGCCGGGTGTGGTAGTGCGTGCCTGTAGTTCCAGCTACTCAGAAGGCTGATATGGAAGGCTCGCCGGAGCACAGCAGGTCGAGGCTGCAGTGGCCGGGAGGGCCACTGCATTCCAGTCTGGGCGACAGAG